TTAGCAGTAGACTTAGCAGTAGACTTATATACCGCCTCATTTCACCCACCTCGGAAGTATGGAAGGTTGAGTCAACCTTGAGCCGGTGAGATTTGAACCGCTGAACTGCAGATAACAGTCAGCTGAAGTGGCCTGCAGTACTGCACCCTAACCACTGCGCCACCTCGGCTCTTATATGAGCCACCAATGTGCAGCAGCAGGCCAAAAAAAAAAAAAAAAACCCCCAACACAATCCTAGGTTGTTTTAACAGAGGGATAGAATCAAGATCATGTCTACCAATAGACAGTGTAGCTAAATTGTTCAATTGATTTTTAAAAAATTAAATGCTATTTTAGTTCATTGTGCTCTTTATTTCTGATTTAGGAAATGAGACAGCATGTTCAGAACTTAAAATGCCACTTTATAAAGCCTAAGTAAAACCATACTTAGAATAATCCAGTTTTGTTCACCATGTAATAAAAAAGATGTAGAAAAGAGCAACAAAGACTATTAGGGGGTTGAGGACTACGAAGAACAGTTGCAGAAGTTGGGTTTGTCTAGTCTAGTGAAAAGAAGAATGTTTGAGGTACTTTCACAAAGAAGAGGGAGTTGACCTACTTTCCAAAGCAATGAAATTAAGAGAATTAAGAGAGAAGCAACGTAGGATTGGAGAAATTTCCTAACAGTGAGAACATTACTGGAGGCTTTTAAGAAGAGACTGGACAGCCACTTGTCTGGAATGGCATAGGGGGTTGGACTAGAAGATCTCCAAGGTCCCTTCCAACTTCTGTTTTGTTATCTGGGGTGAAAAAGTCATAATAACTGCATTGCTAGCCTACTTTCTACTCTAGATATGCTTTTGCAAGTATCTATCTTGTATGTTTATTACTTAGAATTTTGTTCATTAATTGATGTTTTTAATTTTTTCATGGCAGGAGCAAATGATAGTTGTGAAACATTGTCTTTTCAGCATGAAGGACAGGAGTCTTATAGTAATCTTACAGCAGCATCCAGCGTTGACATGTTGTCTAGATCTAGTCACAGTATCTCATCGCAGGTATGATAATATTGTCGTATTGCCTATGATGAATCTTGAAAGCAATTTTTAGTTTTTAGGAACTGAAGTTTTCTATTTTGAAAAATGATTTTTAAATCATATATCATGCTTCAGCATATTTCTTAAAAGTAACATAACATTAAATGTAGGATGGATTTCTGAATGTATCTGCCCGAGGGATTGCTAAAATTACATCACATTATCATTTAATAGCAAGACAAATTACAATTTATTTTTGTTCCTAAGGCCTTTTAACAGAATATACAGAAACCGAATCTGATTCAGAAGCTGAATCTTGACCTTAAACTATAAAAGCAATCTATAATCCTTTAAAAAGTGTCCTGAACATCGTTTTTTTTCCTGAGGCATCTTCCTGATGTCACAAAATGTTGAAAACTTTAATATGGGTCTTTGTAATAATATATAAAACTTAAGTGTACTTTCTGCCTTTTTTTTTAAAATCAATCCAACATTCTCTGCCTGCCTGCTTTTCTTTATTTTTCTTTTTATCGTTTCCTGTCTATATCTCTATCCCTTTCCAAGTTTTCCCTGTGTGATCTTCTGAAACTATCTTTGTTTTCCTAATCCAGTCTCTTGATAGCTCTCCCACCAAGTCTTTCAACAATCTTGACCAAGAAATGGAAATTCTTTTTTAATTCTTCTCTTTTTGTAGTGCTTTGGCCTTGCTATTTACCAGAGAAAAAACCTTAGTCCCTTTATAGTGCTACCTTTCTTATCATCTCTAGGGAAAAATAAAGATGTTATGACTAGAAGCCTGTGCTTTTTCCTGAAGGAATTGCACTCCTTAGGGCAATTCAGTGTGATAGTCACTTAAGGGAAGTTTGCCAGGCTGTGGGCCTTACAGTGACTAGAAGTGATTATTTAAACATTCATCTTTTTTCTCTTATCTGAACATCCATAATCACATTTTAAAAATGCTTTTGGTTTTTATCATTTTGCATAATTTTATTTTTAATGGTCTAGGCTAGTTTAGATACAAGTTCAGTATGAGATTTATTGTCCTAATACAGTAAATCAATTTTGACAATTCAACATTATCCATAATTTTATACATTCGAAAAAAGTATGACTTTATAAAACTAACAAAAAAACATTTCCAGCTTCAAAAGAAAAGATTATGTAGATTTTAATGCAATTATTTGAGTTTGAAAGTTTAATATTATTACTAATACGTGTACTGAAATTTGTTTTTCATTTAGCTTTTTAATGTCATTTAATGAAACAATTTTTAAACAGCTCAATTCAAGGCGGAGACTGAGAAGTGAGTGTTCCTATGACATAGACAATATTGTTATTCCTATGTCATTAATTGCACCATCAAAACTGGAGAAACTTCAGTATAAAGAAATTCTTACCCCAAGGTATTTGAAATTTTATTGAATTTTATACATAAATAAATAATATAAAACTTTGTTCTGATAGAAAGCATGTTGTAAACAATTGACAATATTATGGAAAGGTCTAGTCATGCTACTTCTTATTAGGGAAATGGATGTAATGCCTATAACACAGCTCTTAGGATTTGTTCTTAATGCTTTCAATAATTATTAAGTCTGATTCTTGCTACAGATGTTGGTTAATAGATCACAAGTTTCTATAAATCTAAATTTCTTTTCTATAAAACAAAGATACCTACCTCATGGATTAATAGCAAAGCTAATTCAGAAAAGTTGTAGGATTTGTATTGTTAAAAATAATAAACTCTGTTCATTGTTGATCAAATCATACAACATTCAAATGAATGAACAGACTTCAGTGCAATTAATGTATTTTCTGTGTATATAATATTGCTGTAGGCACAAAGGATTAAGATGCTTAATTTAGATGAAAAGTCTTAAACATTTAAATGTTTAAAGTGCACATATTTAAAGTAAAATGTTTGTGTTTCAATATACTGTATAAATTCAGAATTTGGCACCATCATACTACATATATTCATGTGTTACATTAATGTTATAAAAGTGTAAAAATTCAGTTGCGTGTAAAAATTTAGGCATTCCTCATGAAACCGTTTTAACAAATCCCCAAAGTAACAGAAGCTGATACACTTCTATATAATTAGGGCAAATGCAAAAGTTTGGACATCCTTCAAATTGATTCAGCTGTCGCCCTCCTTTTCTGTAAAGTTGCTAGAAGTATTACGTTACTAATGGCGAATGAATCAGATCTATGATTCCCTAGGGGAAATAATTAAATATTTTCAACAATCATGGGCTCTTTTAAGCAGATTTCTGAGCATTTAAAAAATGGAAATAATCTACTTTTGAAATGCAGTGGAGGGCTATAAAATATCTAAATATCTAAACACTTCTACTTATTTCAACTGAAAAAAAACATTTTGAAATGGAAATTAAATGAAATGGAAAGGTCCAAAAAAATAGAAAAAGTTGTCTATTCAGAAGTAAACAGTGTCTGATGTACAGATCACAAACATCCTTCTCAAAAGGTGAACTGACACAGGAATACTTGGTTACAGGTCAACTGTATAACATTACTTTTCCAACAGTGGTCCACAGTTATCAGAAGGAAAACCTTTATCTTTGAAACTATGACTTAGTTTCAATACTCATATATTTATAAGCTTGAGATGTTTTGGAATAAGGTACTGGACTAATGAAACCAAAATTAAACTGATTGGTTACAACTGCACAATATATCTGGAAGAGAAGGATGAAGGATTTGTAAAAAAACAAAAAACCACATCTGTTCATTTAGGGGTTTATTAAAACATACAATTTGACCAGAAATGCCTCAATCTTTTCATGCAACTGTAGATATTTCCCCATTTTTCAGTCATTTATCAGTGAATTGTGATGTCTACATTTAAGCAGCTGTCAGAAGCAACCAGTGTGTCTCTGCTTTCAGACATTCACAACATTTGTTTGTCATTACTGACGTTCATTGCAAGTCAGTAAAACTATCTAGTCTATCAGGACATTGCTCTTAGCTACCTTAGAAAAAGGAAAGAAAATGAACCAATTACAAAGGTAATTCTTTGGTTAATATAAGATTTCTGATGGAAGAATACCAAGAAAGTAGAAAACACAGATGAGAAACAGGGGAATATATTGCCCATTTGTCCAGGCTGTTGATAAACATGTAACTATGTAGCAGTATGAAGAATCGCATAAAAGCAGATAACTATCTTACCCAAAAGCAAAGTTACTTTTAATTTATGGTAGTATTTTCCATAAGCAAAAGATCACCAGGGAAAAAATATCAACCTCCCTTAACCATGTTCTTACTGAATCTGGGTTGACCCTCCAATTTTAAAATTACATGGGAACACATAGTCTTACGTTCAAACAAACACAGTACATTGGTGCATTTGCACAAATGATTTGATAAAATAAAAAGAGAAACTTAGCTTAATTTAATTTAAATTATGTCAAAGCCAATGACTTTGAAACAGATAAATATTAACTGTGAGAAAGAATTCAGTTATGTAATTGAATCGGCAGGTGTATTTGCAGTATTTAGAGTAGAAATTATTTTTCGTAATGAATTAGATTTGAGTTTTATCTGAACAATTTTCAAAGAAGAATCTTTTTTTATCAACAGTTGGAGAATAGTTAGCCTAAAGCCTTTAGAAAAACTGCATGAGGATGAAGAGAAGGTAAGGTCTGTTTATATTCAGCTGTTGTTTTGCTATTGTTTTACAGTGAGGAATTTTATATTTCTACTTGCAGATAAAATTATTATACATCAGAATTGTGAAAGCATTGAAATGAAAGCATGTTAGTATGAGCAAAGCATTCTTGAAATCTGAAAGTAGAGATATCCTTTGGGAAGTTTGGATGGCTGCTTCAGTTATTAACATACAGTACTGAAGCCACAAGTAAAATGAATCAGCTATACATGCACAACTGCATATCCAGAGACTGGGAAGAGTTTTTGAAGCTACCACAAGTATTTCAAAGGATATAACTACTTTCACATTTCAAGGAATGATGGTTCCCTCATGCTACCACCCATTGTATAACTTATGTTTATTATGTGTATGATGAATAAAATAAATTTTATAATAAAAATAATTGTTATAAAATAATAAAATGATAAATACTTTGACTATTTTGTATCTAAAACTATAGAGGAGAATCAGTTTGGCATAGTTATTAAGGCATAAGGCTAGAAACTGAGAGATCGTAAGTTCTAGTCCTGCCTTAACACAGGGCTAACTGGGTAACCTCGGCTCAGAGCCTCTTCCTCAGCTCTAGGAAAAAAGACAACGGCAAACCACTTCCAAAAATACTGCCAGGAGAAATGCAGGGACTTGCAGGAGCCAGCGTGATTCGAAGGCACACAAACGCACGCACGCGCACACACACACACACACACAATCACACACAAAAGGCAAGAAGAAAAAGTATAATTCTTAATCCTGAGATGGGTGAGGGACAGGTTAAGAAAGAGAATATTTTGAGAGTTTTTACTAAAGTTGGGTCAACACTATAGCATTGGTTTGGACAGGTGTCCACAAATATACTGACCAGGGTCAACTGTGGCTTGATTTTTAATAATCCCTGTTTGTTTATTAAAGATATTTATAGCCTATCCAAATTGTGACAGACAGTGAACAATTATGTATATAAATCAACTATTAAAAGGCCAAATACCAGCATGCCTAGATTTCCTATGATAACTGCCCATAATCAAAAAGGGCCCAAATGCATAGAAGTAATCATCGACTTACAACCACAATTGGGACCAGAATTTCCATTGCTAAGCAAGGCAGTTGTGAGATGCACCTGGGCTGCCACGTACTGTGATGAAATAGTCCAAGCACATAGTGAGCAGGATGAGATTCCATCCCCACAACAAGGCTAGGCAGAGGCCCTAGCCTTGATTTCTGCTTATCACATAAGCAAAAGCTTAAACCCCAGAAATAGCCTTAAATCAAAAACCCTTCTTTTACTGAGTTTAGGACAATTTTAATGGTATTATATTTCATGTAAATATTGAATAACATAGGGGCAATCCCTCAGCTTGTGAGATACCATATTGGAGTCCTTCTCTCTTCCACAATCACCACATGGAATATCCATAATACCTCCAACTCTCCCCTCTTGCCAACAGTATAGAAGGATATCTTGGTGATCACATTGGCTGCCATCAAATTAATAGGTGAGCTAATAGGACATAGAGGAACAAACTTCCCATTTCCATGGAAGAGAAACAGCAACATTTTGTTATTTTTATTTTGCCATCTTATCAGAGTAAGAGAAAAAGTTCCAGTCCATGTAGGTCTTTAAAAACAAGAATGGAGCAGGCTAGGTATGTATTCATTCATGTAAACTGATGGAGTGTCTGAAAAGAGAGGCTGTGGTGGTAGATGGGGAGAAAGATAAGACAAAATACGTATTGCTCACTCTTGTATTGGCTCAGATTCCCACCAATGTTCAATCCTAAAATGGATTTCCTCTGTATTAAATATAACATTCTTAAGAGCCATTTCTACATTTATGTGGTTTTAGGATTATGCTACTGTGTTTTCCATGTTTAGTAAAAATGAATTACACTGTACATTTGTACAGTATATTTTCAGAGTGCTGAATCCATAACTGTTTCGTGAGAAGAGTGTTCTCATTCATTAAATAAGATTTATAATCCAAGTATTCTAATGCTTAGGCAGAAGATCTGTCTGATGATGTCTATGCTGCACGTCATTCAAAATATGAAGACAAAGAAAAAGCACGGTGGTCCCTGTGGGAAAAGTGTCGATGTCCTAGAAGGAATAGGCAGGTTGAAATTAAAAGATATTGGAATTACATTTTTGTTTACTGCTAGTAGTCTCAAATTCTTAAGTCAGTTTCTCTTAAAAAATGAGTTATGTTATTGGAGCTATCTGATTTTGCTTTACTACTATTCAAATGAAAAGTTATTATTGCAAATATAATGCTTGTGTCAGCATTTGTATCTAATTCTTACATAGGCAAGATGCTTGATTTGGTATTCTAAATGTAGCTGCGTGTGAACCAAAACGCATGTGTTGATTTTCCTGCATAGTTAGTTACAAAACCTTCACTTATGCAAATGTATTCAAATTTTTCATTTTGAAAAAAAAAAATGAATGTTTTCAATATTGAAAGTATGGGTGCTTTAATTTATTACTTTAGTGACATCTGAAAATAACTAGTTAAAAAAGTGGGTGTTTAAAATCACAAAAGTGTACTTTTTATTCTCAAATGACTTTTTTCTACAGCATTTTGTATAGCAAAATATTTTTTTTTAATTGGGAACTGGGGTTTGAAGGCATTTGGTGAGAAAATAACCTAAGAGCTGTTTCAGAAAGAAAGAGTACAATATTCACATGACTAATGCAATCCTGTTACTATCAAACTAAATAGTTCTTTGCTTTCTGAAACTAAAGATATACGATGAGATAGCATGATGTGGTAATTTAAAATTTTTAATATATAAACACAAAGCACAATGAATAAAATATAGTAGGAAAAACTCAGAAGTTCTCAATACAGTAATGCTGGCATCCAGGCAAGAACTGAAGGGAAAGAGCAAGTCTCCTATTTGAATGTAAGTTCTGGAACATTATAAGCTCACCAATATGTGTGAATAAAGCTTTAACAATGTGAATAATAGACTGGTTATTTGTTCAAGTCATTACTGGAATGGTCATCTGTCCTTCCTCAAAAGGTTGATGTTCTTGGGCAGGTCTCCATGTCAGAATCTTTAAGAACTATGAAGGATTTTTTTAAAAAAATCATCCCCTCCAGCATGCATGCTTTTGGCTGTGATTTCCCTGTCTTGCCTTTTGTAAATGGAAAGCGGTTTTGGAGCAATCAAGGGATGAAAGCAATACCAGACATCTCTGCAAGGTTAAGGGCCCAGGTTTTCCAAAATAATTGACTGGCTTGTGTGACTGCAGCCTTCTATGAGTTCTCTATGTAATACTTGTATGTATGAATGAATGAATGAATGAATGAATGAATGGCAATCTTATTTAAGTGGTAGAGGAGACGAGTGTACCATAGTGACTTTTAGGATTATGTTTTTCAATTATTCAGCATGCATTGGCAGTAATGTTTCATGTTTTTTGGCCTTTTCTAAAGTCAGCCTGAACATCTGGTATTTCCTTTCTCATGTAGGGCTTTAATCTGTGTTGGGTGATGCATGTGAAATTAAGGATATTGTATGATAATTTGCACACACTGTTAAGTCTTTCTTTTAGTATTGGAATCTAGATTGACTTAGGAATAGCAGTTAGACTTATATACCGCTTCATAGGGCTTTCAGCCCTCTCTAAGTGGTTTACAGAGTCAGCAAATTGCCCCCACAGTCTGGGTCCTCATTTCACCCACCTCGGAAGGATGGAAGGCTGAGTCAACCTTGAGCCGGTGAGATTAGAACCACTGAACTGCAGATAACAGTCAGCTGAAGTGGCCTGCAGTACTGCACCCTAACCACTGCGCCACCTCGGCTCGACTTCTTCCACTTGCTTGGCCCCCGTGTCATTCTCCAAATTTGCTGGCATAGCTTCATTAGAATTGTCTAGTTTATGTTCTTTTGATTGCCATATTTCATCATGGGTATTCCATCAGTTCATATAGTTTCTAAACTTGATGACTGGAGTGCTGTTCTGACTTCATATTTTAGTACCAGAGGTTCTTATAAGTAAGGAATATATTCTAAGATATCTTAGATACGGACATTTTTACTGCATATTTTATTCATTAGTTCAAAAGTTTTCCTCCCCCCCCCCACAATTTGTTTCCATCTTCAGTATCTTTAAAGATATTGTAATACTGTTTTTTGTCTTTTCTAAAAGCTCTTTTGTTAAATTCTTTTAGGAGATTTTTTTCTCTCTTTCTTGGCTTTTGCTTCTCTTCTCTTCTTGCCAATTTCCAGTTTTATTCTAATATCCAGTTTGCTTTCTCTTCTTTTGTCATTTTCAACAGTTTCCTTTCACATTTATTCTTAACATTTTTTTAAAAAAATAATTCCATAATTATCTATTAATGTGGTTCAGGACTTACAAGCTATTCCTGATGTTCTTCTTTAAAATAGTGTGTATATATTCAAGATTATATCATAGAAACTGACTGGCATTCTTTTTTAGCTGAACTTGAAGCTTGCGGAGGAGCAGTTCATGATGTATTCCAGTCATATCTAGTCATGTCTTTGACGTTATAACTGAAGCTCCTCCATCTCCTTTTAGCAATAATATAGTCAATACCATCAAATCAAATCAGAAAGTTATGAAAAATATGCTCCATAGACTTGATCGCATGGGTATTAACTCTATAATACTTGATTATTTGGCACCTTTCTCATATTGTGATTCCAAGAATTCAAAAAGAATACAATCTTTGCTTTCTTCTCTTTCATCATTTTCAGCAATCTCCTTTCGTATTCATCCTTTATTATTAAAGTGAAATTATTTTTAAAAGATGTATGACAGATAGAATCACAGAAGATTATGGATTGTTCCACAAATAAAACATTAAAAAGACTGATTAAAAATATTTAAAACTTTGTATACAGTGGAAAGAGTATGTTTTTGTTTCCTAAAAGTTCCCTTTAGAATTAAATTTGTTATTAGAGATTTTAGAGATCCTTCTTCCATCATCTTATTGTTCATCAGGTCATTGTTACTGAAAGAAATTAGAGCTTATTTTATTTCATTATAGATCATATAGCAGAAATTTTGAGGAACAAGATGCATCACTGAAAGAAAAACAAGCAAATTCTAATTTAACAACCTACATTTCGGGAAACACTGCAGGCATAACTTCAGAAGCCTATAATTCTCAATATTTGGCAACGTCAGAGTCTTCAGGAAACAAACTATTAATGGTACAGCACACATTAATGAATATGCCATTTAAATATAAGTGTTTAATTATTGTTGAGTTTACTGAAGAGCAGTTAAGCAGACCAAAGTGAGCTACTTAACAATTTCCTTTAAAAAAACATCCTGTTTAAATCATTTGTGTTTTAAAGTGTTTTTGTTGTCATTCATTAAAGCATTTTTAATATACCAGAACACTTTATTTAGTTTTTATGTAAGTGTCCTTTATCATACTTTTTTTAAAGCTACAATGGATTTAGTTGGGAAAACACACGCACGCGCCTACTATCCAGGTGAAAAGAGTGAGATTAATTTTCAGTGGACAGTATTGCATTGGAGAAGTGCAATTCAATACCTATTTATTTCATTGCAATGATTTATTTATTTGGGGGTAGTGTTAAGACTATACTGTATGAGGCTTCCCCAAGCTGTTTAATTAAACCTTCTAAATAAGACAGGCCGATTTTGTCATTGTGTAAATTTTAACAGTTGATATAAATGATGTGAATTTAGAGCTTCCAATATCAGAATTAAGAATCATTGCAAATAGTTTGTACAAGAAATATAGCATATCTACTCCAAAGATAATCTTGAACTTCTTTCACTTAAAAAGACTATGTTAAAAAAGCAACGCCTCAGTGCCCAGCTTTCTTCCTTGTCAACAAGTAACCAATTCCAGTTGAAATCGTTTTTTGGATTCCTTTCTTCCTTCATAATGTGCATATATGAAAAACTTGAATATGAACATGGGCTTGAAGCTACAGCCCCCTAGAACTAATAAAAGAATCACAATTTGTTTCTAATTAAATTAATGGCCTGTAGAAAAATTACCACACTTACAAAATGAATTGCGCTCCAGTGTATGTAGCCGTATTTTTCCTCTTTCTTTTACATACACAAGCACATCATCCTTTCTATTCTGGCAGACACAGAAAAGGGAGGTGAGGTGGGGATAATGGAATGGGGTGAAGCGAAGAGTAGAGAACAGAGAAAGAGATTGGATGCAAATGGGAAAGGGGAAGACATAAATTTTAAATAATCATAACTTTATCAAATTATACACATTATATGCATTTCTTATTCTTTTCTTTCCAACATCTGTTGAAAAATTAACATGATTCCCCCTTCCTATTTGCAAGTACTGGGGCGGGGGGGGGGAGGGAGTGACTAATCTTAAAAATAGTGGTAAGACCCATGCTTTGCTAAAAGTTTATTTTCAGTGCCTTTTATTTTATCTTTCATCTCTGCCAGACTCTCCTCTGGGAACGCCGGGCTTTTCCATTAAAAAATGAAGAAGTAGAAACTTTAATACCCCGTCACCCAGTTCATCAAGAATGTTCAGAGATGTCTGTTCTAAGAGACTCTGACCATAATCCATACACGGCCTTGAGTTTTCTGAACGATAACTGGCCACAAAGGGAGAGTTCCATCTCTGAAGTGGAAGACCCCCACCCAATTGACTTTGGGAAAAAACAGACGTGACAGAGAGTAAAGTTGCTGAATTAGGAAAGTAAATCAAGCTGAAGGAAGATGTAAGGTAACATATTTTCATGCTCATGCAAGCAATAATATTTTTTTTCATATTAATATTTACAATATAATCTTTTGACTTTTTTTACAGGCAGGATGAGAATGCAAGAGCTATTTATATTTATCTGAATTCCAAGAAGAATGTCTGTCCGGTAGACTAATATATTCGTTGTGAAAAGTGGATGCTCTTAAACTGTAACCTCAAATCATTGCCCCATCTTGATCAAATATGCAAAGTGTCTAGTTATTACAATGCAGCAAAATATACCTTTGCATTTAGCAAGTGGTAAAAAAAAGCAATATATAAATGCAAAAATGGAACACATACTTGAATTCATTGGGCTACGCACGTTAAAACTACAGATGAGATAAAGTCAGTTTAAATTATTTAATTTTCTGTACTTCAATGGATTCCCCCCCCACCAAATATTTTAAAGGTAAGTACTAGAAGTATCTGAGAAGTTCAGATTTCTGAAGTAATTGAATCTATTTCTATAGCACTTAGCAGTATTTTTACTTATTTAACTCTTTTGTATCCCTACAAACACTTTGTGCGTGTTACAATCAGCGGATTATGAGCATCCATTTTTGTATCTTAGAAACGTTAAATATACATGGAAAAAAGGACATTTAAATATAAGCATTATGAGCAAGACAATAGCTCTTAAGATAATGATAAGACAAATGAAAAAGTTCTCATTCAAATTCCAAAATGCTGCATTGCAATGTTATTTGTATCCACCAGGGAATGCTAGGTGAATAGATATTGCACAGGACTGTTATGTGTATTTACTGCTACCAATGCAAGAGGATAGTTCTTCTGTGAGGAACTGTTGATAGCTTTTATTAACATACTATTATTAAGTATGCTTTTTAAGACTGCCATTTCCCAAAGGATGTTTTAATGGGTAAATGGCCAAATTTTAGTGTTCCATCGTCCCCAGCGGATTAGAAGTACACTGGCTAATATAAAAATGTTAAGTTGCCTTTTCACACTACAGCCTATGTTAGATTGTAGTTTCCTATACATTTTGGTTTTAGCTTTTAAAATGCTTTGTCCAGGAAATTAACTTTGAATCTTGCCTCTGATACACCAAATTTTCAATGCAAGGTTTTAAAATTAAAAGTTATTTCTCTATTACTACAGTGTGATGTTAATGGATTGAATCCCTTTAGTATTTTGTATTTAACTATGACAAATCATGATTGGGAGATACTGTTGGCTTGGCAACAAATGTTTTATACAATTGTGATGAATATGAAATGACATTTTCCCCCTTTGATTTGCTTTCCAAAGCCGAAGTCTGTATTTTTGTTGGTCAAATTTCTGGTTTATCATCTTCCTCCTATTTCTTCTTAATATATAAATTATTATGACTTCTAATACATGAATATCCAGCCAGAATATGAAAAATGAAAACATGCATTCTTTAAAAAAAGGATTTTTATTTTGTTGATTTGATTCTCACTCTTAAAACAGAGCTAATTCCAATTTACATCTTTATTAATATTAGCTAAAAGGTGGGTTTTGATCATTTGAAAGATGAAATTCTTTTCTCTGGTAAGTTATTTTTTTCATAGCAATAAATTTCTGGTGAACATCTTCTTACAATTGCTGACAGTTGAAGGAGGTCCAAGTCATACATATTATACATTGCTTGGTCTAATATAGATGCCTGTTGTAGATGTGCTAACTTCTACTTAGTTATTTTAAATGAATTTAAATACCTATGTAAATAATTACATTGTATTATTTTTAACATATGCAAAATGGTCCTAGTCAAATTTATTANGTTTTATCAAATATTCTGTTGAATTCAATAGGGCTTACTCTTAGCCAAATTTGTACAGGATGGCAGCCTTTGCAGTTTAAATAGAGGTCCCAACCAAAGCCAGATCCCTTAAAAGTTTGCTATCAGTTCCAAAAATGACAAAAAGTATGCATTTAACTACCTCATCTGCCCAGCCTGGAGTAAAAAGTATTTATTTTAATACAATTGAACAGCAGAAAAAGGCTCTATATTTTCTTGCTTTTATGCTCTTCAGCTTACGCTTTATACAAATCAAGATACAAGGATTAACATTTTTTAAAAAAAAATCTGTTTATCCCTGTTGTCTAACACTGTCTTCCACTGTTTTTTCAGCACAGAAAGGGTAGGAAATGGATGACGTTATTTTTTTTTTTAATTTCAAAATATATTCTCAATAAAGCCAATTAAAGAGATTAATGTCAGAGTCCACTGAAAAGAGAATTGCAATGTTTTGTCTTCATTATATTTTTCTTAAGAAAATGATATAATTTGATGTGCCAATTTTGAGTGGAAGAGAAGACTTTTTTGTTCATAAGGCATTTGACAGGCACTAAATCATAACATTTCCCTAGCTACTTTTATAGTGTAAACTGTATATCTACAATGAAATTTCTGAAACAATCATTCTGTATCAATTGGGAACCAAAAGGGTGTGCATACGTGCATTAAAAAACAAATTATTTTCAATTTGCAAGTAATTTATAAAAGCTGAATGATAATTAATATTGCCTCAAAGCTCAGGCATACGTTCTTTTTCAGGCTGAGGGCACAACCAAGAATTGCTTGGATTCTAGGAAAACACGTCCATTTAAATTAAAACATTTAATGTAAATTACTTTCAAAGCATTTAATAGTTTTTCCTTCTGTCATGTTAACAGTTACAACTGATGGCAATTTTAAAAAGTTTTACAGATTATATACCCATGATCTTAACTTTTTAATCATTTGCAATTTTTGCTATTATTTTCATATTCAGAACATTGAAGCAGATTTCCTGCTCCATTTATTTCCATCCTTCCATTTTTATTCTCAAAGTGGATTAGACCCACAATTGTTCATCAGGGCGGAGCCACCCTTCAAACTTTTCCAATTCAAGGGTTTATTATTTAGCATTTTAAGGAATCATCGCATTTAAAATTAAAAAAAAAAAAACCTTTTCCATGCTGCATGAAATCAAGGAGCAAGCAAGGAGCGTTTTCTCCAATATCACAAGACACTCTTACTATGTATTGTGCTTGGGTTTTTGGTCATAAAATAAGCCTCCAAAATTGATGTCTTGTTTATTCCACAATGGTATTCCCCCCCCCCCAATGAGAAACAGTAAAACGCAACCCATTTGGCTGCAACGTGATTTTACCGATCAAGAGAACGCTTTTGAGCAGCTTCACAACAGACATTTCTCAGAAGGTTAATCACAGTTCTAGGATCGTCACTCTTCATTATAGCACTCCCAGACACAATCATATTTGCACCTGCCTAAAAGCAAATCACAAGACCACATAAGAATTTTTAAAATAAACGTGCAATAATGAATCATTAATTATAGAAAATTGTGAAATATAATGTATACATTCTAATAAAAAACAAACAGCGGTTAGCCAGATCAGCACCTTTAATTATACTTTCCTTATTACTCCTAATCAACAAGAAGCATCAAGGTTTGTCAAAAGTACCAAATGAATATTCAAATGTTTTGCGAAAAAGTTACTTCTATATTTAATCAGAATGAAAAAAGTTTAATATTAAACTGAGATTTTAAAAACTGGATTACCTAGACACAACAAGTTCCAATAATTGAAATTTTTCATTTAATATGGACTGTCTCTTAGTCTTACCTCTGCACATTTATGTATAGTATCTGGCCCTACACCACCATCTACTTCAATATCCAAAGAAGGAAACTGGGTTCTCAGCCAGTGAACCTAGTTACAATGCAGAAAAAACGCCATCAATTAACAGAAGCAGTAATTATTTTTCTTATAATATGCAAAAATTAGGCATCAATGTATAGAATGAACATTCTCAATTAAAATGTTTAAGGTTGTTCCCATTAGTTTTTTCATAAAGCTGGGATTTTTGAAATAATTGGCAAACTTACCTTTGGCATCATATCTTCCATGAACTTTTGTCCACCAAAACCAGGTTCCACTGTCATAACTAAAGCCATGTCTATCTGATTGGCCCATGGTGCTAAAAAATCTACTGTGGTTCCTGGTTTGATAGCCAAACCAACCTAAAGAAGAAAAGGACCAAAATATTAAAACAACTTGTATCCTGAATCTTTTAGAAAAGAAACAAAAAGATTCAGTTATTCCTACCAGATAGTAGTAAAAAGCCCTGCCAAATAAACTTTCGAATGGCAAAGAAAAAAGTAGATTACTTCCAATGTACAACTAAGGTAATGTTTGTTTAATGTGCTCAGGAGTTCAGAATTATATGGATGCATTGGTCTTAAACTTGTGATTAAACAGCATTCATTAAGCACTCATTATAGTGATTGGTATGTACAGGTATGTATAAAGTGCCCGATTTCTAAGTATTTTAGTGTTTGGGCTCATTCTAAAGTACTCTTGTTGAGATTTTTTTTGCAGAAATTCAGATTCCGAAGTATACAATGCGTAACATATGTGTTGCAGGTACTGGTGTGATGGTACAAATGCAGAATTACACGGATGTATACTTTTCACAGGTAGAGAACTGTATTTTTGCAGTTGCCACGTTACTCATGAGCTGTGTTAAAGAGATTCTAGTGCTATCTGCTCTGTTGGACTTAATTCTGTGGCTTTTAATGAGGCATGCAAAGTCATTGTCTTCCAGCTTTTTATAGGTCAGATGGTAAATAGCAGCAAGCAGGGACTGCTGTTCACTTAACATTTGTGGCCTAAGATAACCAACTGGGGAGCAAAGTAAAAGGCTTGTTTTGAGTTATTATGAATGTTGGGACATTGGAAAGTTTCAAGTGTTTGTTCCATTCAAACAGAAAACACTCAGTGCCTCATCTATCAGATATAGCAAACGTTGTCCTAGAAGGGGGACAAACAGATTTTTGTAATACAATGTATATTTGGTATTTTAAAGGAATAAGGGTATCAATAGCGATACAATGTAGGAAAAGGAGTGGCAGAACCCAGGAATGGAATTAAAAGAGGGATCAGCAGAGAAGCCTCACATAATCACAACAGAAGTCCAGCCCCTCTTCCCTTGAACTCCACTGACCCTTAATCTAACCCAAAGTGGATGCTAACCATTAGTTGAAAAGAGGCGTTTACGAAATTATAAAGATTCCAAACCTCTCACCTTCATTCCATTTTCTCTTATATCTTTGATGAGGGCCCCTGGATTATTGGTAGCTTCTATATGAAAGGTATATTGATTTGCACCGGCTACAGCCATAGGCTTTACCCACTGTTCTGGTTTAGCAACCATCATATGCATATCTAGAAAGAATAAAATAAGATCAGAAGCACAAATTATTGGACTGCATATTTATAAAACATTGTCTGTCTTGGTTTTAGGATATAAAAGATATAAGGATAGGAACCAGAGGTACGTTTTTAGCACTCAATACCCAAGTACATATCTAGTAAATACTAACACAAAACTCAATCTGTTTTGGGGATTGCTAATACCTTAAAGTCAAGAAAAACCTTGTTAATATGCTTTTCACCTATCCTTCAGAAGCCTTTGGCTATATCTCATTGACCCTTAAAGCAGCTATTCACCAGGATATCCTGTTTTGTTGCTATTGGAGCTGTTCAAAACCCTTCCTTGCGCCACTGGCATGCCATCTAGTGAGGGGGAACCCCTTACTACTTCAGCTGATGGCCTCTTCCTCTTGTCCAAGCAGTCCTGACCAGTGAAGGACCCCAGAACCCACTAGAGCAGCAAGGCTGGCTCTGCAAGAAGTGTTTTAATGTGTGGACTTTAAACAAATAATTATATGGTCAATCATGATTCAACAATTGTTGCTATAATCACTATTCACTAAAGAAAGAAAGGCTGGGCTTTAACCACCATATTAGTATTCTCATTTAATTTTTGCACATCCATGGAAAATAAAAATAAGAGCTGAAAGCAGCCCATTTAGAAAAAAAAAAAAAAACCAGTAAAATTCTACTCCTTGGGGAAAAAAAGTTACTTGCCCCTCCTTTAAGTCTGTTCTAAAATGGACTCCAGAAACGACTAGGAAAAAGAAAGCTGAAAAGACTGGGATGTCAGAAGCTGCAGCAATGCTGCTTTCCTAAAACACATTTTTTTTTTAAAGTACTTCTGTGCATGTGTGTGTAAGTATGCATTTGTACCATACTACTTACCTCAGATTAACATTTAACGGAATAAAATATTAAATACAATATTGATTATAAACAGCAAAACCCTAAATCCAATCATTTGGAACAATTTGCATTGTTTGAGCCTTCTCTGTCATGTACAATTTCATACCACAGTAACAAAGAAAAAACTCTGGATACGTTCACCATATTTTAAAGAGCATATATACAGTAGCACATATTAGCCGAGATCTCTAATACACACTAATGTTCCAAAGGAATAAATTGTAATTTCACCATTATTTCTTACATGCAAAACATTCAAAGAATGAGTGAATCCCCTATTTTTAGAGTACCAAAAGGAAGCCCATCCGCTGCAAGACTTAAATAGCTTCCTTGAAGGCTGCCTCGTGTATTTCTGCTTATGTTGCTGTATGGGGAAGAGCCCCTGTGACCTTATGAAACAAAGACCTATACAAGAAAAGGCAGAAGCAACCCCCGAGTCAGTAGTGGGATTCAAAAATGTTTGCTACTGGTTTGGTGGGCGTGGCAGGGGAAGATTACTGCAAAATCTCCATTCCCTTCTGATCAGCTGGGACTCAGAAGGCAGAGAATAGATGGGGGCAGGGCCAGTCAGGGGTAGTATTTACCGGTTCTCTGAACTACTCAAAATTTCCGGTTCTCCAAAGCTGGTCAGAACCTGCTGAATGCCACCTCTGCTCCGAGTCTTCCAAATAACACGGCTCCTGTAAGGTCTTGAGGAGAGGCTCTTCAGTTATGCTAACACATTCTGCAAAACAGCCTGTCGGAAACTTTTAAGCCACCTTCAGATGGCATTTCTTCCACATCTTATGCACAATTCTACCGCTCAAAACGATGCCAAAGCAAGAAGAGGATAATTCAAATGTATCTCATTTCAAGCCTTAAATTAACCTAATATTAATAAAGAATAAGAGCTTACCAAAAAAGTACTGCTGGCCCAGCTGCTTCCGAAGGCTCTCTACAACAGGATGGCCAAAAGTTATGTTTGGAACAAAATGTCTACCCAAATGGGGGGGAAAAATAACATCCGTTGTTAAACAATTTTGGCTGAACTATTTCAGTATATGCACAGTTTTAAATAATTAACTAGTACTTAATTTACTGATTAAGCATTAGTAAAATTCCTGTAATGACAGAAGAGCAAAGATCCTACAAGTTCTATTTTACTCTAGCTCATTCAAGTACAAAGATGCACTGTAGCCCATTTGCACTCTTTCTTTCCTATGATTGGTTGACTTAGAAAGGGTTTAAATTTTTATATGCCAACTGCAATGGCCATAAAGTTAAATATCACATGACTGTTTTGCTTAGCCACAACACTCCTGCAGTCCTGCTTGCCATCATAATCCAGGACCATGCATTGTTAATCGAGGACTTCCCACGATCATGACACGGGAAGAGGGGGGAGTCCCAGAAAAATAATCCAGCAGGTGAGAGCTTTCGATGAGTGCCATGGGCAGGCGTTAGGGAACATCCGGGTGTTACAGGCGGGTGGATGAAAAGGCAATGGAAGCAACTTGCAACATCCTGACAGCTTCTCTATTGACTGTTTGTGGCAAGGAAGGTTACAAAGGATGACCTCAAGACTGGAGGACGCTGCAATGGGTGCAACTTAGCTGCATTAAGTCCCCCTTGTTCAGGGTTGTCATACAGTTGCTGAATGAGGTCTTGTAAACAGAGGGCTACCTGTATTGCTAAGGCAAAAAATGCTTCCAGGAAGTAGTCTGCATTATCTTCCCTCAAGTTCCAGGCACCATAACAAAGCACTGCTAACAAAACACTTGCTTTCCTGGAAAGTAAAAGTGATAGCATCGACTGCTGTGGCTAACGGCCAGCTGGCAAGATCCCCATCCTTTACGTGACTTGAGGGCTGTTGCGGTACAAGCAGCCGCCCACCCATCCCAGCAGAAACCTGCTGTCACTGAACATGCCCGGAATTTGCTTATTTGTTTCACAAAACAGTAAAAAATGACCGACGGAGAGGGCTGTAAAGCAGTGGTCTCCAATCTTGGCAACTTTTAAGACTTGTGGACTTCAACTCCCAGGGTTCCTCAGCCAGCAGTCAGAATTCACTGCTGAATGCAGGCTGCTTATGGTGATGCATTAAAACCTCCAGAATGATGTGATTATGAAACCAAAATAAAATCCATCAAAATCTCAATCTTAATGTCAATACAGTAAAACACAGCATATTCATCACAATATTTGCAAAGCAACTGAAATTAAATATACTGTTCGAACAGCTCTGAACGCCTGCCTTTGGCCTAGATAGGGGTTGTTTAATTTGTCCCCCCCCCCTTATCATAGCAATTTTTATTTTAGTTATTAATATATTTTAGTTTTGTCTTTCATTTGTGTAGCTCCCAGAGTTGTTGTGTGTTCAGCAGTCTTCTAAATTTAAACAATGCACGAATACATTATTTTAGCTTTGCTGGCTGAGGAACTCTGGGAGTCGAAGTCCACGAGTCTTAAAAGTTGCCAAGGTTGGAGTCCACTGCTGTAAAGCACTGCGGAGCGGTATATAAGTCTAAGCGCTGTTGCTATTAAATATTGCACTAGAGCAAGTGTTTCTCAACCTTGGCCACTTGAAGATGTCCGGACTTCAACTCCCAGAATTCCCCAGCCAGCAATCGCCGGCTGGGGGATGCTGGGGGTTGAAGTGCGGATCTCGTCAAGCGGCCAAGGTTGAGAAACACTTGCTCTAGTGCAATATTTAATAGCAACAGCGCTTAGACTTATATACCGCTCCGCAGTGCTTTACAGCAGTGGACTCCAACCTTGGCAACTTTTAAGACTCGTG